GTGGAGACTAGGGGGCTGGGGTTGTGCCCTCCGTGCCTGGCTCCTCACCTGCTGAGCGGAGACTAGGGGGCTGGGGTTGTGCCCTCCGTGCCTGGCTCCTCACCGCCGCCTTCTCAGGTCTACAGGGGCCACAGTGACCTTGTCCGCTGCCTCAGTGTCTCTCCTGGGGGCCAGTGGCTGGCTTCAGGTGGGTCTGAGCTGGGGGCAGCCCTGAGCTGGGGGCAGGTGGGATGTCCAGGTGCTGAGAGCCTTCCCTGTTGTGCCCAGGCTCCGATGACGGCTCCCTGCGGCTCTGGGAGGTGGCCACTGCCCGCTGTGTGAGGACTGTGCCTGTGGGGGGCGTGGTGAGGAGTGTGGCCTGGAACCCTAACCCTACCGTCTGCCTGGTGGCTGTGGCCGTGTAAGTGGGACCCCTGGGGGCAAGGGAGCCCGGGGTGGCGCCATGCTGAGGGGCTCTGTCTGGGCCTGGCCCACAGGGAGGACTCGGTGCTACTGCTGAACCCGGCTCTGGGGGACCGGCTGGTGGCAGGCGGCACGGATCAGCTGTTGAGTGCCTTCGTCCCGCCTGAGGAGCCCGCCTCGCAGCCTGCCCACTGGCTGGAGGCCTCAGAGGAGGAGCGCCAAGTGGGCCTGCGGCTGCGGATCTGCCACAGCAAGGTGTGTGGGTGCGCTGCGGGTGAGGCTCCGTGGGAGGGGCCCGGCTCAGCCAATCAGCCAGCCTTGCCTTCCTGCAGCCAGTGACGCAGGTGACCTGGCATGGGCGTGGGGACTACCTGGCCGTGGTACTGGCCACCCAGGGCCACACCCAGGTGCTGATCCATCAGCTGAGCCGTCGCCGCAGCCAGAGCCCATTCCGCCGCAGCCACGGGCAGGTGCAGCGGGTGGCCTTCCACCCTTCGAGGCCCTTCTTGTTGGTGGCGTCCCAGCGCAGCATCCGCCTCTACCACCTGCTGCGCCAGGAGCTCACCAAGAAGCTGATGCCCAACTGCAAGTGGGTGTCCAGCCTGTCTGTGCACCCAGCAGGTGAGGGGTGGGGGCTGTGCACCCTGCAGGCGGGGGGTGGGGGCTGTGCACCTTGCAGGTGAGGGAGGGGTGGGACACTTGAATCATAGCCTTGGGCCCTAGGTGACAACGTCATCTGTGGGAGCTACGACAGCAAGCTGGTGTGGTTTGACCTGGACCTTTCCACCAAGCCATACAAGGTGCTAAGGTGAGAAGAGCTAGGGGTGGAGGCGGCCAGTGGAGCCCCTCCCTCTAGCCCTAGCCTGCCTTCAACCTGGTTGCTCCCCACAGACACCACAAGAAAGCTCTGCGGGCTGTGGCCTTCCACCCCCGGTACCCGCTCTTCGCATCAGGGTCGGATGACGGCAGCGTGATCGTCTGTCATGGCATGGTGTACAAGTGAGTGCCAACCCTGCCTGGCCCCCTCCCCAGGGCAGTGGTGTCTGGCTGTGTCCTAAGTCATCCTTGTCCCCACAGTGACCTTCTGCAGAACCCCCTGCTGGTGCCTGTCAAGGTGCTGAAGGGACACACGCTGACCCGAGACCTGGGAGTGCTGGACGTCATCTTCCACCCCACTCAGCCGTGGGTCTTCTCCTCGGGGGCAGATGGGACCATCCGCCTCTTCTCATAGCTGTGCCGCCTGCCCTGGGGCCGGGGCGGTTGCGCTGGAGTCAATAGAGGCTTTTCCCTGTGCTGCCTGGTGCTCCCACCTTCTTGAATTGGGGTTGCCGACAAAGCCGCCCCCACCACAGCGCCGAGCCCCCCCACTCGGTGTTGCAAAACGGTGGGGATACCACACCCAGCCCAGGGCACCCGCTGGCCCATCCCCTAAGAGGCTGTGGCATCGCACCCTGTCAGTCATTTGCTGGGAGCAGATGAGTTTATTGGGCGCACGGCCTCCCACACCCTGTCTGGCCGCGGCACATCCCTCACTGAGGGCTTGGGTTTGGTCCCTGGCAGTGCCTGTTCTGGGGCCAGGCCCCTCCAACCCTGCGGCTGGTCCTCAGGAGGCCCTGTCTTGGAGCTCAGGCACAGGTCTGGGTGGGTACTCCTTGCCGGGGGTCCTGGCCGGAGCCTCAGGCGAGCTTCACCAGGCGACCCAGGGCCTCAGCAGCCCTCGTCCGCACCTCTGGGGCCGGGTCCTTCAGCAGGATCTGGAGTGCTGGGGGCAGAGGGAGGGGCTGCCTGGGGCAGTGCCTTGCAGCCACCGTGCCTGGGGGCTGTGACCTCCGCACGCCTATGCCTGCTCATGGGCCACGCTCTCCTGACAGCCTCTGCTGGGAGGGCTCAGGAGCCAACGGAAAGATAGTTTTTCCTTTTTTAGTGTTTTTTAAGCTCTTTTGGAACAGTTAAGAAGTTTCCGTGAATTACTAGAGACGATGAGGTCACCAGTGACAGGGAAAAAAATCCTGAAATCCAGGAAAATCACTTAGTCCCTGCGGGTGCCTACAGGGTCAGCAGGGCCCAGCACAGGGGCCCTGTGGAGGGGGTGCTCACCCGAAATGAGCTGGTCCAGTTCCACCTGTGGCTGCTGCCTGGGCTCCGCGTGCAGCACCAGGAACCCTGTGAAGTGGGGGTGTCAGGCAGGGCTGCTAGCAGAATGGGGGCAGGGCAGGGGCTGGTGCTCACCCGTGAACAGTGGGGCGGCGGCTCGGACGTCCTCCCAGCTGCTCTTGAAGTAGAACAGGCAGGTGCTCAGCAGGCGGCCCAGCAGGTCTGGGAAGTGGTGCATCTGGGGAGAGGCCTGGTCAGCTCTTCCTGGCCCCCCCACCTGGCCCCGCCCCATCCACCTGGCCCCGCCCCATCCACCTGGCCCCACCCTGCCCCTCACCAGGTGCTTGCAGGTGGTGTTGAGGAACTCCCCGAAGTGCAGGGCCCGGCCCTCCTGCAGGTGCCTCTGGAAGGCAGCTGAGAGCTCCTCACATGCCAGGTTGGGGCCACACATGAGCAGGGCGAACCTGCAGGCCTGAGGGGTGCAGTACTGAGGCTGAATCCAGTTGAAGCCACCCGCCCCACCCCCTGGCTACTCACGCTGGCCACAGCGGCCTGAGGGTCCTGCAGGTGCAGCAGCAGAGGTGCCAGCCCACCCATCACCTGGTCCAGGAAGACGTCCTCACAGTCTCCGTGGCAGACCTTGTTAAGGTGCCCAAAGAGGCGGATGGATGCCGTCCGGAACTCCATCTTCTCCTGGGAGGGACAGGCAGCATGCACCCCTCACATGCCGTGCCCCTGTGGGCCTGCCTGTCCTAGCCCCTGGCACTGATGGTGCCCTCGCCTGACACAGGCCAGGAAACACTCCCTGACGGGTGGGGGCTGCCAGGCCCAGCAAAGCAGCACCCATGCAGGTCTGAGCTCTCCGTGGTCACCTAGCAGCGGTGGGAGAATGACAGGGAGCAGGATGGGGCTGGGGCTAAGGCTCAGAGTAAAAGGCAGGAAGGGCTGGGGCCCTGCCTCCCCCACCCGCCCCACCTCTCCACCCCCAGTGCAGCTTACACTGTCGAAGAAGGGCCGGATGCGGATGGCCATGTGCAGCAGCCCCGAGCGCAGGTCCCAGGCCTCCATCAGGTCCAGCAGCCGCGCCAGGCCCACCATGGCTTCCAGGGCCACTGGGCTGTGAGGGTTGTCCCCGTCATCCAGCCCGCCAATCATGGCTGTGAGGAGCTGGGGGCCGTGGGCCCGCACCTGAGGATACCCTACATTCAGCCTGGGTCCCAGAGTCACTGTCTGCCACCCCACCAGACAGGGTGGCATTCATGCACAGCCTGCACCCAAGCTCTCTGGGCCCCAGAAGGGCTGGGGGCTGCCCCACCTTGTCAGGGCTGCCGGAGGCCAGGTTGGCCAGGCCACGGAGCACCAGCCTCCGCACACTGGCGCATGTGTCTTTCTGCCGCGCCGCCAGGCTCTCCAGCAGCGAGTCCAGGAGCATCAAGTCGTTGGCCACGTTGCTGTTCAGCAGCTGCAGGCAGGGGTGCCGTGACTGCCCCTCCAGCTGACCCTAGGACCCAACCCACCAGCCCATGCCCAGAACACCAGAGGCTGCCCCCACGCCGGTGAGGCAGATGAGGTGCAGGACCTACTCCCTGGCTCTCAGATCTGTGGCAGCCCCTCCCACTTCTGCCGCTGGGGCCCACTCTGAACCCCACCCTGCCCTGCTACATGGCCATGGGCAAGACCACACCACCAAAGTCATCTGGAGTTCCAGGGGTCAGCCCTGCCCAGCTACAGGTGTGCCCAGCAGGGCCTGGGCCTCAGAGCGCAGGCTGCAGGCAGCCAGGGTCCTCCTCTCACCAAGAACAGAGGTGTTCTTGGGCGGGATGGAGCAAGTTCTGGCACACCAGGAGGAGGTGGTTAGTGTCCACATCCCTCCCTTGCAGGCCATAGTTAGGGGGTGTCTTTCAGGGTTTGGAGAAGGGTGTCCCGTGCCTGCCCTGAGCAGGAGGTCCAACCTGATGCCCAGTCTCCTTCCCTGGAAAGGCCTACCTCAGCCAGGAAGGCGGTGGTGGTCACCCTCTGGACCTCATAGGCACTGCTCTGTGTATATGCCAGCTCCTTCAGCACCAGGGGTAGCCGGGGCCCCGCATGCTCAGCCATGGCCCTGGAAAGGGGATTGCTGAGGGTGCAGGGGCCGTTGCTGTGCTGCACCCTACCCAGGCATCTCCCACCCTGCACAGCCCTGGTCAGTCCACCTCCAGCTGCCAGGCTCTGGGAGTTCTTCCACTCACAGGTGCCTTCCAGCGTGTCTCACCAAGCCTCTGCAAAGGGGTCTCTCCCCATCCCCACCCCAGGGAGTGAACAGGCAGTTCAGGCCACCACTGGCCTGACACACATGGGACCCTTGCCTGATCACTGTCACGTCCCGGGCCCCCAGAGATCAGTTGGAGCCCAGCCAGTGCCGGAGCTGCAATGGGCTGGGACGACTCACCTGGCCAACCTGGTGGCCCCCTCCTCATGCCCTGCCGAGGTCCTGAGCAGCTCCCAGCCTCCTTCTTGGTCCATGCGCTGGGCCACAGCCTCGCTGCCGCTTCGGAGCAGCACAGCCCGCAGGGTGTCCACAGCAGAGCTGCAGGATTACCAGGGTGCTCAGCTGGTGGGGACACATGTGCCCTCCTCCCTTCCTGAGGAGCCACTCCGGTCTGCAGCCACTGTGTGTTGTCCACCTGGCGGCTAGCCCTATTCCTGCCAGAGTCATCCTCCAGGAAGCAGGCTCTGGGCCACCTGCTGGAGCGCCCCCGTTTTCCCCACCCAAGGCAAGGATGCAGATGTTGGCCTGGAGGTATCCAAGTGAGAGCTGGACACAGCTAAAGCCCCCTGGCCACACCTGCCTGCCTTTCTGGACATCTGGACAATGCTGGGCACCCATACCACAGGTGCCCACCCCTGGGCCTTTCCTGCCTGGCACCTCAGGCTCTCACATCTGTACCCCAGGAGACTCCATAGCCCTCTGGGAAGCAGCCAAGCCAAGCCCCTGATCCATTCCCAGTGTTGGCTGAGGCTGGCTGGCAAGTGAGTGGGAGGATGGTGCTCAGAGCTGGAGTGGCTGCAGGGGTGCACCCAGCCCACCCATGCTGAAGAGCAGGCAGGTCTCTTCCCACTCCCACCCCAGAGAGCGAACAGGCAGGAACTCGGGCCACCGCTGGCCTGACACTTGGACAACTCTCCATCTCTCCTGACTCCCCAGAGGCCAGAAACTGACAGGGAGAGTTTGATGTTGAAGCCTCCACAGGGCCCGGCTTGAACCTGGCATCTGCCATCAGCTCAAATGAGCCCTTCTCTGCCGAGGCTGCCGGTGGGCAGGACATAGCGTGTGACCCAACAGGCATGGTCTGGGGAAGAGGGTGCCCTGCACCAGCATCCCCACCCAGCAGGACCCTCCCTTGCAACTCGGGTGCCCACGGCCCCTGCCACGTGGCTTTCTGCTGCCCACTAGCACCTCACACGTTAGGCCCCTGATGCCTGTGGACCTCTGCCTCCACAAGGCTTCGTCCCCACGAGCGCCTGGCCCAGAGAAGACAACCCCCAAGCGGCATGAGCCATGTGGTGGCCACTGGCTGTGGTGACTGCCACTGCACTGGTCACCTGCCAGGTGTCCCACAGGCTCCCTTCCCGTAATGGCCTCTTGACCAGGAGGCCGCAGGTGCTGGGACGTGGGGTGGGCCCGGCAGGGAGCAAGTGGCCCTGCCAAGCTGGGGGACAGGTCCTGCTCGCCTGGATGGTGTTTAGGGCTCTCATGCAGGTGGGATCCAGGAGGGTGTGGTGAGCGCAGGAGCACAGGACAAGCTTGTTAGAGATCTAGTGATGGGTCTCATGAAGCTTCTGGGAGGTTGGACACACAGGCCGGTGATGCCAGCAGGACTGAGGTGGCCTGAGAGCTGCGCAGAAGCTGCAGCAGCTGAGGGCCATGGGGGTCTTGGCAGCCCAGGAAGCAGGTGCCAGGGGTCTGCTTCCAGTATACCACTGCCCCCATGGGTATGTCTGGGTGGCCTGGTGCTAACCAACAGCAGGGCCAGCCCCTCACATGGCCCTTGATGAGTAACCCCAGGCTCCACTCTCGGGGGTCCCTCCCCAAGGCAGGACATGCTAGAAGGCAGCTCTGGGTGTACCAGGAGTCCCATGGTTCCAGTGTGGGGCCTGATCTTTGAGCCCAGGTAGCCTGGGTGCCAAGGGGGCTTCTAGCCCTGGGAACAGGACAGCCAGCACTGACCATAGCAGAGCTGAGAAGCACACCCGTCACTGCGTTCACGGGAGGTGCCCTTGACACCAGCAGGCTGGGCCAGCCCAAGCAGAAGGACCCACGGTCAGTTTGGCTCAGCCTCCAGCTCCACACCCTGCTCCAGGTCTTGAGGCCTGCAAGGCGCCATCTGGACCAAGGGCTGCACTCCAGGCTGCAAATGGCGCACACGCAGCAGTTCACAACCAGCTACAACAAACCTAACGGGAGGCGTGTGTTTGGCTCAGGAACGTGTTAGTGATTTAGACGAGGGTGCCTCCCTTGCTTTTGTGGCCAGAGCATTTAAGAATGTGGCACCCGCAAGGGTCTGACCCACTGGCGACAGCCTGTATGCCAGGCTCTGCAGTCGTCCCAGTGAAGGGGTACTTGGGGGCGGCCCCACAGTTCAGGGGCAGAGACACTGACTCCCAGCATGCCAGGCCCAGCGGCTGGTGGCTGCCCGTCCCATTCACATTTTCCACTCAGTTTGCGAGGGGCTGAGCAGCCCTGGCAGCTGGCCCCACTGGGGTTTATGAGTCGGCCTGTGGCTGAGCAGCCTGTGGTGCTGGCAGGGGGGTGAAGTGAGGCTGTTCCCCTAGTGCATCCTTGTGAAGGTGCATGCCCAAACCTGGGCGGCCTGGGTGGGACAGAGCCAGAGCCCTCCAGGGCAAGCAGGACGTAGCAGCCCTGTGTTCACATGGGCTCATGGTCCTGGGGGCAGGCCACACAGCCAGACCTGCCCAGGGTGTCAGCTTGCTCTATCTTCTCTATGGGCCCAGGATGTGTGTAGGACCTGAAGTGCCTCCATGTCAGAGACTTTGGCAGCTCCTCCATGTGGGGCTGGGAGCACGTGCCAAAGGCCGCTCTGCTGGGACAGTTGCAGGGACAAAGCTGGTCCTGCCATGGCTGGCTCCAGTCTACACCCCAAAGACTCCCCATAACTCCACTCCCAAGAGAAGGCACCACCCTGATCCTGTCTGAGCTGCCACATGAAGCTCCCACCAGCTGCCCATGTTGAGCACCACTGTGCATATTGCCCTCAAAGTCGAGGAGGAAGGCCTTAATAGCCGGCGTGAGAAGGGTGGCCGTGATGTCACCACTGGTGGCTCAGCCCTGCACCTGCGTGAGGCGCCTTGGAGGCAAAGTCACTCTGTGCTCCCCATGGTTCCGATCTGCCGTCCCACTCCCCCCACCGTGTTCGTGTACGCACGTGTGCAGACACATGTGCCTGTGCTTGCAAACCAGTACTGGGGGTGGGAAGTGGGGACCCAGATACCTGCAGGGCTCCAGGTTCCTGGTGGCTAGGGCTGGACTGGCACCCCTCCTTTCCTGAGCCTGCAGGTTCCGGGGCAGCTGGACACCCACAGTGCAGCTGACGCGCAGCAGAAGCACCACAAACAGCTGGGGGTAGAGTTCCAGCACGGCTGGCCCCACCGCAGGAGTGGACATGACCTCGAACAGCGCACAGGTGGCCTGGGGAGAAGTCACCACAGGCCATGCCTCCCTCCAGGCCACAGCAGAGTCTGCGCCCTGCGCCTAACAAGCCTGCATCCCCCATCGTGCCCCCTGGATCCCATGCGTGGAGCTCCAGGGAGCAGCAGCACAGGCAGGTCGGGGCACACCTCTGTCCAGCTTGGCCCTCGGGCAGAGGCAGGAGGCAGGAATAGGCGGGCAGCCAGCCTTCACAGGACAGACCTCAGACCATTTGCTCTCAGCTCCTCAGAAGGGAGGAGGAGGAAATTCTCACAGCTGCTTTACTGCTTAAAACATTGCCAAGCTGGGTTTATTTTTTTTCTGCAGGATAAAACGTGAAATGGTCTCCCCTGAGGGCCCACACCTGTGAGGCCTTTACGAGCCGGTGCTGCTGCCAGGTGCCCGTGCGGTGGTGTCCCGGCCACCTCATCGAGGGGCCTCCCCCCCCCCCCGCACCGAGGCAAACAGGGCAGGGACAGTGGGTCAGGGTGGCCCCGAAAGCCTGACTCACCGAGAGAGGCAGCAGCGTGGCCACGCGGTCTGGGGTTCGGCCCAGCAGGAAGGCTCGGCTCTCCTTGAATGGGACGTCCCTGCTCATCATCTCCAGCAGCAGCCCCAGGACCTGGGTAGCCAGGCGAGGTTCCGCCGCCAGTGCCCGCCACAGCATGCAGGTGTGGCTGGAGCAGGGCAGGAGGAGATTCACCTTGAGGCCATGGCTGGTCACAGCACTGCCAGCACCTGGGCCAGGCATCCCTGCCCACCACCACCTGGATGCTGTGGACCCTGGCTCCACAATGCTCAGACCTGGCCACCAGGCTCAGCTGTAGCCACCTGGGAAATGGCTTCTTGGCCTCAGATCTGAGCTCACCCCTTCCTCTGACGCCAGGGGTCTGTAAACAGAGCTGGTAATAAAGGACACAGAAAAATCTGGGCCTGTACACAGAGGGCCCAGGGCAGCAGTGTGGGAGGTCTCTGAGGGGCTGCCGCGCGAGAGAACAAATCTTCCCTGGAGGAAGCAGCGTCTGGCCCAGGCCTCGGGACGGCACAGGTCAAAGAGCGCAGCTCACAAGGAAACCCACCAGTGCTACCGAGACCACTCAGATGCCAGACACACCGTGAGGCAGCTCTGCTTAGCGCTTGCAGAAATAAACAAACTTTAAAGCATGTGATGGGAACTGGAAATTCTAAAAACGGGTACAGCAAATTTAAAAGAAAACCAAACAGCCCTTTTAGAAATGAAACACGAATGCGGACATATTTGGTGCCAACCTAGACACGGTAGAAAAGAGAAACAGTGACCAGGAAGATAAAGAAATTACTCAGCGAATAGGAAGATAAAAAATTTTCAGATAAATTATTACAGAGAAAGGGCTGGGCATGGTGGCTCATGCCTATAATCCCAGCACTTTGGGAAACCGAGATGGGAAGATCATGAGGTCACGAGTTTGAGACCAGCCTGGACAACATGGTGAAACCAATCTCTACTAAAAATACAAAAAATTATCTGGTGGTGGTGGTGTGCACCTGTAATTCCAGCCACTCTGGAGGCTGAGGCAGGAGAATGGCTTGAACCTAGGAGGCAGAGGTTGTGGTGAGTGGAGATCATACTATTGCACTCCAGCTTGGGCAACAGAGCAAGACTCTGTCTCAAAAAAGAAAAAAACATTACAGAGAAAGAATAACGTGGGGATGCAGAGGACAGAATAAGACGCAGAAGATGGAATGAGGTTTGGCATACATTCGATGGATGTCCCAGAAGGAGAGGAAACAGAATGGCTGACAAGGGGAAGGCTGAGTTCTTCAGAACTGATAACAGATACTAACCTACAGGAAGCCCTGAAGTCTAGCAGAGTAAGTGACAAGCAACTTCCGTCTGCAAACCGTAGACCAGCCACAAGCAGGGAGGGCTTTCCTTGACAGCCACGGTACTAGGAGACTTCACCTGGCTCTCAAGAGTGATGGCAGAAGCCAGAAAACAGTCATGTACTGCCACACACACCTGAGAAAACTCCACTGAACGGGGATACTGAGCCGCAGAAAGAACAGCCACAAGCAACGGCCAAAGACATTCTCCAGTAAACAAAGGCGGACAGTTTGTCACTAACCGATCCTTGTGGAGGGAATTCCAGAAGACATTGTTCAGGTGGAAGGAAAGTAGCGCCCAAGAGCAACGCCATGTGGGAAGCCAGGTCAGTAATGCCATGCGGGAAACGCAGGTCAGTAATGCCATGTGGGAAACCAGGTCAGTGACGCCACGTGGGAAACGCAGGTCCGTGACGCCACGCGGGAATCACAGGTCAGTACTGGCTGCGCCCAAGAGCAACGCCACGCGGAACACAGGTCAGTAATGCCACGCGGGAAATGCAGGTCAGTAACGCCACACGGGAAACACAGGTCAGTACTGGCTGCACCCAAGAGCAACGCCACGCGGAACGCAGGTCAGTAATGCCACGCAGGAAACACAGGTCAGTACTGGCTGCGCCCAAGAGCAACGCCACGCGGAACGCAGGTCAGTAACGCCACGCGGGAAACGCAGGTCAGTAACGCCACGCGGGAAATGCAGGTCAGTAATGCCACGCGGGAAACACAGGTCAGTACTGGCTGCGCCCAAGAGCAACGCCACGCGGAACGCAGGTCAGTAACGCCACACGGGAAACGCAGGTCAGTAACGCCATGCGGGAAACGCAGGTCAGTAACGCCACACGGGAAACACAGGTCAGTACTGGCTGCGCCCAAGAGCAACGCCACGCAGAACGCAGGTCAGTAACACCACGCGGGAAACACAGGTCAGTACTGGCTGCACCCAAGAGCAACGCCACGCAGAACGCAGGTCAGTAACGCCACACGGGAAACGCAGGTCAGTAACGCCACGCGGGAAATGCAGGTCAGTAACGCCACGCGGGAAATGCAGGTCAATACTGAGTGCATCCTAGAGCAACAGCCATGATGGACTCGGGTCACCCAGCAACTCAGCCAGACCCAGACCTCAGCCCATGCTGGACTTCAGCAAGGACACAGGCAGCCACTTTTAAGGCAAACGCTAAAAGAAAAGGAACACACTGCAGGACTCCAAAGTGAGTGGAGAAAGTGAGGTAAAGGGGACACTGTCAATCTGAAAAAAGACAAGACTTTAAAAAAACCAACGTGACAGTGGATTTAAACTCACTCTATCAGTAACAAAATGCAGCTGTTTACGATGCATAACGTTGAAAACAAACACACAGAAAAGTCAACGGTGCCAGGGTGGAGCAGGGCACCAGACAAGCGCACGTCTGAACAGAAAGTGCCTGCGTGTCCCCCCTGCCAGGAGGAAGCATTTGAGCTGCGATGCACCTAATGGCAGGACCTCAAAGCATATGAAACAAAACCAAAACTGACAGGGTCAAGGACCAGGTGCAAGGAAACCTGCGTCCCACGGCAGCTGCACGCCCCTGCCTGCTGGGGGGAAGGGTCACTCTGCCTTGCCCAGCACAGGGTCTCTGGGAGGTCACAGGCCTGGGCCAGCCTCTGTCCACGACTGGGATGGCAAAAAAGGAGGGGCCAGCAGACCCATGTTCTGAAGGCCTCAACGAGGATGGGGTACCCCAGTGGGCTGGCGGGTGGTAGACACGCCCTGCCCTTTGCTGGGAACTGGGAGGTATGTTTGGGAAGACACAGTGATACATGGTACAGACAGGGTTGTCCTTCGGCTACTGAGGAAGCTCAGATGGGGCAGTTCCTAGGGGTCTGCTCACAGGCAGTGGTGAACGCCCTGCAGAGGACAAGGCCTGGGGCAGCTGGGACCAAGACACAGGGTGAGAGGCAGCCTCCAGTGTCTGCTGGAGCTTGGGGCCAACAGAGCAGCCAGGCAGCTTCGGGGTCTTAGAGGAGGGCAGAAACAGCAGCTCCCCTGTGGGGGTGCCATGCAGGGTCCACCAGGGCCAGTGAGAGTCCCAAGGCACCTGGAGAGGAGCAGTCCCCACAGGTACCTGAGAGGCTAGGGGCTGTCTCCATGTCACTTGCTGTCCCAAGTGGCCTAGAACCATGGGAACTCATGCAGAAAGCCAGGGTGCAAAGGCAGGTAGAGGGCTCAGGGGACCACCATTCCAGAAGGACCCCGAGCCTGGAGTCTGGGCTAGGTACCTGTCCAAGGGCAGGGGGCTGCCCAGGAGGCTGGACACCACGGCTGCACAGTGCTGGGTGGCCAGGAGGTACACGCTGTGCTGGGCGGCTGGCAGGACATGCTCTCCCTGGGCCTCCTGAAGCTTGGAGCGCAGCATGCTCATGATCTCGGGCACCTGTGGATGGGTGGGACACGGCAGTGAGGCCAAGTGTGGGGAGCAGCCCTAGGCACACATATGTCAGCCTGAGGGGGTGGGGCCACGGAGGAGGCCGCATGAGATGCAGAGCTCCGTACTGCTGGTGCCACCCTGAGGCACGGCCAGGATCTCCCGTGGGCTACAGACAGCCCAGAAGCCAAGGAATTGGAGCCACCACCTGGATTCCTCATGGAAAGTGGCCAGCGCCCTGGGAGGCAGTGCAAGCACCAAGGCCACATGTGGCCGAGGTTGGTGCAGAGCTGGGCAGGCGGCCAACAGAACCAGTGGCCCTGTGCCCTCACAGCACACCTGTTGGGTCCAACTCTTGGGCTCCCTTGGCAGGCCCACCAGAAGCAGGACCCACACAGCTGCCAACTGCACCCCTGCGGGAGTCAGGCTGGGGACCTAGACGGACAGGGAGATGGATTCTCAGACCGAGGCTGGAGCGGGGCCTGAGATACAAGGATGGGACTTGGGGGGCTGCAAGTTTGCGACTGTCCTGCTGCTCCAGAAAGCAAGTAAATGGAACATGGGCATGAGGACGCTGGCTCACCCCCTAGTGCTGTAGCAGCATAGTATGTAAGCCTCACTCTGGGGGATGGCCTTGTCGCAAGGGGGTTCCCTGTCCATGGTGGGTATTGACCTGGGAGTCTCCTCTCCAGCCCCAGCCATGGTGACCCCGACTGACAAACGCCTACTGCACAGCTGGAAAATACCACTATCTGGGGTGAAAACAGACAAAGCAATGAGCTATGAAGTCAGGCTTGCCTCACCCACCCCAGGGTTCCTGGGCCAGGGCTAGGGCCCTACTTCCTGGCTGTGGCCAAGGGACCCACCAGATAGCCTGGGCAGCTGGAAAGAAGGGGCTGGTTCAAAGTGCAACAGCAGGTAGAACTGGAGAAGATTCTGACAACAGAAACTTCTGGGCCAGGACCCCACCACTTCTGTGGTGATGCCACAGTGTGGCGAGACATTGCTGAGGGGTGCAGGAGCCATGCCCAGTGGAAGGTGCCCAGGCACAGGCCAGTCCTTCCTGGTCACTGCCGCTCTCAAAGGAGCTGCAAACCTGTTGATGCTGCTTTCATTCCAAGACCTTCCAGTGCAGAGCTCAGTGCCCGGCTCCCTGCAGTAGCAGTTGTGTTCTGATGACCCGTTTCTTTGCCTTTCCTCCACCTGTGAGCCCCTTGTTCCTGCCCAGCTACATCCCTGACAACTGCCAGAGCTGTGGAAGCTGTCTGCTTCATGCCCACTGGTTTCCTCTGTACTCCTGGCTTTTGGCAAGTTTTGACAGTGAGGAGGTGTTGAACTTCAAGCAAACATTTTTCCACACTGGATCTTGCTCCTCAGCCCTCCAGGGAGTGACTTTTTGCAGACAGACTTGCTTTAAAGCCAAGACCAACCTGATCACCCCATGATGTTATCTGAGCTGCTGGGCTGTGCCACCCACACTGGCTGCTGACACAGCCTCTCCATTCTCCTGAGTGGTGTGAGGGGCAATTACCCCTCTGCCAACACGCAGCCTGGGTGACTCCAGTGGACGCCCAGAGCAACTACTTCCACCACCTTAGTGGTTATGGGTCCACTGGACTTGCCCACCTCTTTCTTGTCAATGTTGGCATTTTCTCAAAAACCTGTTGCTTTCACGATAGCTTTTCAAGTGTCTTGGAACACAGTTGTTTATGGATATATATACTTTGTTGTTCTTCAAATCTCTTAAATGCACGTATTTTTCCTCTTTCACTTACGTTTTGCTTTTTTTTTTTCCTGAACATCTTTCTTGAATTAATTACGTTTTGCTTTTATGGATGTCGGCTCTTTTCCCATGACTTGTCTTACAAGAGGTCTGTCTTGCTAATTGTTTCAGTGGGTTTATTAACTTCTCTAATATTTTCCTTACTTTTGCATATTTATTTTTTAAAACAACTTGAACCTATTGGTGCACAGGTGCGCTTGAATCTATGCTTCTTACAAACTAGGGAAACAGCCCGGGTGCGCTGGGAGTGGAGGGCTTGCAGGGTGGGGACGGTTTCCACGGTCACCTCTTAGCTGTCGACTCTCACACACAGTCCTGAGCATGCTCCTGCTTCTGCAGGCTGCTGGGCAAAATCCATGTGGTCCCAGGATGAGGGGCAGCATTCCAGCTGTCTGCTCTGCAAGGCTCAGCTACACCTCACACCTTCCAGGCTATTCCAATGGTCTCTGGGTCGTGGCTCCTCCCTCCCTGGTAAGCCCCTGTGCAAGGTCCTCTCCCTTCCTGTCATGCTTGGCCCGGGTCACTGAGATGTTATTCAGAGCCCCAGAGTGTACCATTGTAAATGCACAGTTCCAGGATTCCAGTGCACTCAGGGTGTACAACTACCACCCCCAAAGGAAACCTGTCTCAGCCGGGGCAACATGGTGAACTCTGTCTCTACAAAAAATACAAAACATTAGCTGGGCACGGTGGTGCACACTGGTAGTCCCAGCTACTTGGGAGGCTGAGGATGGAGAATCAACTCAGCCCAGGAGGTCAAGGCTGCAGTAAGCTGTGATGATATCACAGCACTACAGCCTGGGCAACAGAGCAAGACCCTGTCTCAAAAAAAAAAAAAAAGAAAAGAAAAAGAAAAGAAAAAGAAAGCCCGTCTCCATTAGCAGTCACTCCCCATTTGCTCCCCAGCCCCTGGTCACCTCTGTTCTGTCAGTCACTATGGATTTGCCTATTCTGGACATTTCGTGAAAATGGGCTCATATGATTGTGGCTTTCAGTGTCTGCTTCTTTCACTGAGCATGATGTTTTCCAGGTTCATCTGCCTTGTAGCCTGTGTCAGAGCTTCATGCCCCTTTACGGCCCAATGATGTTCTGTCGCACGGATGGACCACATTCATTTTCCCTATTCATTTGCAAAGTGATGGGCCCTGGGCTGCTTCTCAGATGGCACGAGGGTGCTGCTGGGAATGGGCTGCTGTGCACACCATGCTCCATTCTCTCAGGAATATCCCTGGGCGCGACTGCTGGGTCACTTGGCAACTCCGTTTGGCCTTCCCAAGGTGGCAGTGCCACTTCCACCCCCACCTTCACGTGGAGTCTCCTCTCCTGTCCTTTCCTCAGCCTCCCATGCACATCCCCTCAACCCAGGGAAGGCTGCCTCCTCCTCGGACACACCGGGCCTCAGGAGCCTGCTGTTCTCTTTCACGCCCTTTGCACTCTCTACTTCATGGCCATCTTGCGCTGGGGAAGGTCACATGTCACCCGATAGGGCCACAGGTTCTGATTCAATGTCAGAGGAACTCAAAGCCCAACAGCATCAGCCTGTCTCCGCCAGGGTCTCAGGGCAGGGAAGAACACAGAGGTTCGCCGTGACAGCTGGGTACGTGATGCTGGCTCCAGGTGTGCCTGTAGGGCTGTGCTGCAGGCCTCTCGAAGCCTTAGCCTGGGGGTCAGCAATGCCCCTGCCCGGCTGGGCTGTGCTGAGTGGTGTGTATGCAAACCTGGGCTGGGAATAAAAGAGCTGGACAGCTCCGCTGTGCAAAAAGCACCATCTCAGAGCCCAGCAACGGCCTCAGTGTGATCCAGCCACTCCCCTTCTGGGCATGTCCCCAAAAGAACTGAAGGTAGGGACTTGAAGAAAAATTGCATAGCCGCATTCGGGAGAATCTGCCCAAGTGCCCATGCACACAGACACATGGAAAAGCACAACACAGCACATCCCACGCTGAGCCCGACCCAGCACCTGGGGCTGCCACCGCCAGCCTGGTCCTTCCCACACGAGGCTGACGCCAGCACCCAGGCCAGTCCATCCCATGCTGAGCCTGAACCAGCACCTGGGGCAGCCACCACCAGCCTGGTCCTTCTCTCACCATCTGAAGAGGTGGCCAGGGGTCCTTACTACTCTCAGATCTGACCTGGGGCCCCACTGCCTGCACAATAAAACCCAAGCCTTCGAATGGCTGCACTGAGCACCACACTCTGCCCCCACCACCCTCCAGCCTCCCGTCCCTCCTGGGTCCTGATGCCAGCATCTCCACCCTCAGCCTCTTCCTCCTGCTGTGCAGTAGCACTGGGACCTGGCTTTCCAGAAACCACACTGTGTGCAGCTCCCTTGGCATGGGCCCTGCACCAACACACTCCTCTTCTCCACTGGTACATTCCTGTTCATGCCCCTCCAGGGAGCTATGTGCAGTATACGTATATCCAATGGAGAAGCTTTCTGTGTATGTATATCCCAGACACAGAAAGCACTCCCACCAGCTGGGCACGGTGGCTCATGCCTGTGATCCTAGCACTTTGGGAGGCTGAGGTATGTGGATCACCTGAGGTCAGGAGTTCAAGACCATCCTGGCCAATGTGGCGAAACCCCTTCTCTACTAAAAATACAAAAATTCGCTGGGCGTGGTGGTGCGTGCCTATAATCCCAGTTACTTGGGAGGCTGAGGCAGGAGAATCGCTCGAACCTGGGAGGTGGAGGTTGCAGTGAGCAGAGATCGCGCCACTGCACTCCAGCCTGGGCAACAGAGCAAGAATCCGTCTCCGGGTTACGGAGCGGGGGAAGCACTCCTACCAATCAATAAGAAAAGCACAGGCAAAAAGATGGTATCCTCTCAAAAGGACACAGCCGAGTCATCAGTAAACACACAAATGAGTGTTCACCTTCACAAGCCACCGAGAAACACAAACGAAACTCAAACAGAAGCGGACGCACACTCATTCGGAAGGGTGGGAAATGCATCGATGGGCAAGGCAGGCATGCAGGAGCCAGCCATGTTCCCGTGGGAGGAGAGAGGGCCCCCGTCCAGGGATGAGCACCGGGGCCTGGCCTTCAAGCCTTATTGCTATTGTGGGCATGTCCGAAGCTGCAACGGGCCCTCAGCTCCAAAGGACCTGGACCCTGTGACAGCCGTAACTGGGAACTGCCCAAGTGTTCATGGAGACAGACGGATGAACACTCGTGATACTTTCCCGGTGGAGTGTGGGCAACAGGCAAGTGTAGTGACAACGGGCACAACCTCACACATAGCACAGAGCGTCACACAGAGCACGGAGCATCACACACAGCACTGAGGATCACACGCAGCACAGAGCCTCACACGCAGCACAGAGCGTCACACGCAGCACGGAGCCTCACACGCAGCACGGAGCCTCACACACAACACGGAGCCTCACACGCAGCACGGAGCGTCACACGCAGCACAGAGCGTCACACGCAGCACGGAGCGTCACACGCGGCACGGAGCGTCACACACAACACGGAGCCTCACACACGGCACGGAGCGTCACACGCGGCACGGAGCGTCACACGCGGCACGGAGAATCGCACGCGGCACGGAGCCCCACACGCGGCACGGAGCCCCACCCGCGCCACGGAGCCCCACCCGCGCCACGGAGCCCCACCCACGGCACGGAGAGTCACACGGCACGGAGAGTCACACACGGCACGGAGAGTCACACACGGCACTGAACCCCACACACGGCACTGAGCATCAGCTGCAAACCACTGCATGGAGGCCGCATAGTGAGAGGCAGCGGTGGGGCTGGGATGGGTGTGAGGCAAATGAGGGGCGGGGCAGCATGAGAGTGCCCACCCACTGCTGGACCCTGGAATCCCTCAGCTAGGTGGCCTCCTGGGGAGCCAGGTGAGCCCTCTGTCCATGTCCATGCCAGCAATGCACGCAGGGGGCTCCGCCAGGTCTCAGGAAACATTAGTGCTTTCACGTGCCTTTCCATTTCCTTTCCCCCTTATTCTCTCAGCACCAGTTTTTGCCAAATTCTAACCCCTGTCTTCAGAAATAAGAGAAAGATTTGTCCATAGCAGTCCTGCAGGGAGAAGGGGCAGAGCAGTGAGGGTCACACCCTGGGAGGGCCAGGGAAGGCAGTGCAGGACAGGCCAGGGCCAGCCTCACCGCGCCCACACCCGAGGTGCCACCTCTCTGGGAGCCACTGCCCTGCCCACCCCACCCTACCCTCTCCCACCTTCTCCTGGAGCTGGAGGCCCACTCCTGCCCTGCCCTCCCGCCCTACCCCATCCTCTCCCCGAGCCATGCCCCACTCCTGCCCCGCCCACCCCACACCTCCCACACCTCCCACCCTCTCCCACCTTCTCCTGGAGCGCTCCACCCCGCTCCTGCAGCAGGCAGTTGATCATGACGGTAGCTGCTCGTGAGCAGTTCTGGTCGGGGTCTCCCAGGCCCTCAAACATAGTTAGCAAGAGGCTGATGAGCTGGTCTGGTGGGAGGCGCCTGGCAATGATCTAGAGGAAGGTGATGCCGGAAGGTTGGGGAGGAAAGGGGAGCACCTCCAACATCACTTCTCATAGGCATTGCCTCAAGGGCTTGCTTCAGGGCAGGAGGCCATGTCCCTCCTCACAGCCCTGCCCCGCCTTCCAGCCCTGTGCCTTCAATAAGCTCGAAGCACGTGGGTGGGGTCTCGTTCTCCAGAAGCTGCCAGGGCCTGCTGCAGCGTGGCAGGCTCCTGGAAGGCGGTGCCTGGGCAGCTGCAGGCTGGGTCACAGCACCCTCCTCGGCTCCCTCTGGCCAGTGAAGTGGGCTGGGAGCAGCCTGTGGTGCAGTCGCCCTGGAGCTCTCTAGAACACGGGGTCATGGGCAGATGAGCCTTGGCTCACACCTGTAATCTCAGCACCAGAAAGGGCCCAGTTGACCACCCTCCTTCCTCTGTAGGAGACACAGTCTCTGGACCTGGAAGGCCATTCCTAAGCACCAGATGGAGACAGGCAGTGCCCACCTTGGGAACCCACATGATAGCACTGAGGGAGGGGCAGCTATCTTATCCTCTTGGAGGGACTTTTTTTTTTTTGAAATGCAATTCTTTAATAGAACTCAAATTTGTGTTTTAACATGGTGAGCCTCAGAGTGGACCAGGCAGGCATGGGTTAAGAGGGATGCAGTGCCCAGGGCCATCCTCCCTCCAAATGGCAGTGGGCAAAGCACCTTGACCAGCTGGAGCCAAAGGCAGGGCCCAGCCCTGGCCCCTTGGCAAGAGGGCTACAGCCTGCTGCACCCACAAGCGATGACCCCAGCCCCCTACATGGCTCTCGGGTAGGCTTTGGGCACAAGTGCTGCACAAAGCAGCCCCTGGAGATTCTGTTCCAGAAAACTGCATGTTCACGAGCAGGCCAGGGTGTAAGTGGCAGGCAGAGGGCGGCTGGGCCTTGTGGTATCCCATTCCCTCCTCAGCCTCTGCCAGGTATCAAGACAAACAGCACCTTCCTCTTGCATGGACTGCACTGCCCCAGCATAGGTGGATGTGGGTGATGGGGCCAGTACAGGGCAGCGCCAGCAACACAAACACCCAGGCCCCTGCCCCTTGCCCACTGGCCATGGGTGGCACTTACAGAGGCTAGGGGAGGCCAGGTGCTGCCTCGGAAGTCCCTGTTAGCCCCAGACAGTGCCAGCCTGCCTTCCAGCCGCAGAGCTCCCAGCTGGTACCTGGCCTACACTGTGGCAGGTGTGGAAGAGAATGGTGGGGTCAGGGTGCGCTAGGCCATCCTTGAGGCTGAGGAGCCGCTCCACCACGTCATCGCGGTAGTCCCGGGAGAAGCCTGAGAGGCGACAGGAAGGGGCAGTCGGGCCCAGGCCCTCCCTGGTGATTCCGCAGTTCCCGGCACCCCTGCATAGCCACTGGCCTCTGGGCCCCCGACAAGGGCTCACCCTCATAGCCGAGCTGGAGGTAGAGCAGGGAGTGGACACAGTCCATAGCCTCCTGGCGGGTGGCAGGCCACAGGTCCGCACACCTCGGGGAGAAGAGGCCGACGAGGAGACCCAGGTTGTGGAAGGGTACCAGGGCCTGGAGGAGGAGATGGCTGGGCTATTGGAACGCTCGGGGTGGGCAGATGCCACCTACACCCAGAGGAGGGCTAGAATGTGGCCAGGAGTGCTGCTAGCGTCCATGAAGCTCTGGGCCCTTGCTGTGGCCAACGTGGCCCCCAGGGAGCTCCTCCCTCCCCTCCCGCTGCAGTGTGGGACCCCGCTCAGCTCAGCTTTGACCACGCCTTGTCTACACCCAGACCACACAGGATCCCATGCTGGTCCCCTACAAGAAGAAGGGGCAGGCCATGCCAATGTGGGGCAAGCAGGTGTGTGCAGGCAGACAGACAACCAGGGTTAGGAGGGGGCCCCCAAATGGGCAACAGAAGGCAGGTCGGGGTGGGAGGAGCACACGGGCTCTGCTGATTTGGGTGACGACAGTACTGTACAAGACCCCCTTGCACCCTGACTCCTTCTGGTCCCACCTTCTAGAGCCTTTCTGTTCTCCTCAGTCCTGCCCCTCCCATGCTCCTGCTTCCACACCTCCTCCCCAGCACATGCACCTGTTACCCTCCCACCACTTGCTCCCTTCTCAGCCCCCACACGGGAGGCCTTCCTGGGAGGTGCTCCTACCCGGCCCTTGCACTGGCTCCCAGGCTCTGAAGCTCTATCAGATGGAAACCGTGCATCTACCTTGGTGCCAATGAAACTCCTCATCCCCAAAATCACCATGAGTGAGAAAGAATTTCAAGTCAGAGGGAAAGGCTGGAATGTTAGCTAAAGACTGCCGGTAAGCCACCATGTTCTTGGTGAGGTTAGACACAGGCCACACCACTCACCAAGGTAAGCTGCAGCCAGACCAGGGTTATGTGATGGGCAGGCCATGAAAGCATGCAGGTGGGAGGAGCCCTCAACACACAAGATTTGCTCACACAAAGAATGAAAGTTTCAGCTGAGTGAAACTTTCATTACAGGCGTGAGCAGTGGCTCACGCCTGTAATGCCAACACTTTTGGAGTCTGAGGCTGGCGGATCACTTGAGGTCAGGAGTTCAAGACAAGCCTGGCCAACATGGCAAAACCCCATCTACTAAAAATACAAAAATTAGCCAGGCATGGTGGGTGCCTGTAATCCTAGCTACTCGGGAGGCTGAGGCAGGAGAATCGCTTGAACCCAGGAGGCGGAGGTTGCCGTCAGCCAAGGTCATGCCGCTGTACTCCAGCCTGGGTAAGAGAGCAAGACATGTTTTCAAAAAAAAAAAAAAAAAAAAAGAAAAGAAAAGAAAGAAAGTTTTGGTGCATTAAAAAAAGGCCAGGTGCAGTGGCTCATGTCTGTCATCCCAGCACTTTTGGAACCCAAGTCAGGAGGATCACTTGAGCCCAAGAGTTCAAGACCAGCCTGGGCAATGTAGCAAGACTCCATCTCTACAAAAAATAAAAGAAGATTAGCTGGGTGTGGTGGCGTGCACCTGTAGTCTCAGCTACTCAAAGCCAAGCCGAGAGGATCACTTGAGCCCAGGAGTTCCAGGCTGCAGTGAGCCATGTTTGTACCATTGCACTACAGCCTAGGCAACAGAGTGAGACCCTATCTTACGGAAAAAAAGAGACAGAGAGAGAAAAAAAAGCCTAGAATAATCCTGATATATGACAAAAAGTTATTTAGCAAAATCTACTCTCTGTTCCTGATAAAAGTTCTCATTAAAATAAACAGATGCTTCTGGAACATGATAAGAAAATGTTGTCAACCAATTCAAGCACTGTGCTTACCAGTGAAGCCCTGGAGACCAGGGGTGCATGTTCCTCCTGGCTAACAGTAGCCCCTGGTGCCCATGGACTACACTCTGGGCAGCCATCCCTGACAACTCCCGGCCTTGACAGGCCCTCAATCCACATCCCCAGGAAGAGGACTGTGGCGTGAGCTGGGGTGGCGGCCAGAGGAAGCCAGGAGGCCTGCTTGCACGCTAGGTCATGGGTGTCACAGGGAGCAGCACTCTGGCCAGGGACCCAGGTACTCACGCTGACATGCAGGTGCTCCAGGAAGTAGCGCAGCAGGTGGGCACTTACGCCCAGGGCCCGTGCTCGCTCGTGACCTCTTGGGGACTTGATCCATGGGCTCAGGTGCTGAGGAAAAGGAGGCTTCACACAGGCACTGCTCAGAGGGCAGCCCTGGGAGCAGGAGCCTTGCGCACCGTGGGCCAGGTCAGTGTCCCTGCCGGGCCGTCCTTACCAGCCGACAGGGGGCCAAGCCGGGACCCAGAGTGGTGCCAGTGTCCCTGCCGGGCCATCCTTACCAGCCAACAGGGGGTCAAGTCGGGACCCAGAGTGGTGCCAGCCACAGGCCACCACAGCTCCTCTGGCCCTGCCACTTTGTCCTCCAGTCTGGTCATAGACACAGGCCAGCCCAGGTGAACCCGGGGCCAGCGAGACTGTGGAGGCACAGGGTGGAGCCCACTTTGGTCCTAAAAGAACACACTCTGAGCATGGGGGTCGGCCCCGCCCTAGCCTACCACAGCACCACCCTGGCAGCGGCCCCCAGACAGTAGGAGCCATGGGTACCCATGGGCCCATCCATCCCTGCAACATGCAGTGGCGGGAGAGGAGGACAGGCTCCAGAGGTCCCACCAGGGTCAGGGCCTCCCCCATCTGCTTGCCGGTCCAGATCGGGGGATGCACCTGCCTGTTCATAAACTGCCCCCAACTGCAGAGAGCACCAAACTGTCCCTGTGGTGCCCCCAAGGGGAGAGAGGGCCAGGAGAGGCAGGTGAGGGGCCAGCAGCCAGGTGGAGCCCCCTCCGTGCCCCCATCCCCACCCCCACGACAGTTCCCACCCCTGCATACCTCAATCATGATCTGTAGGCCCTGGGGGGTCATGTTCTGCTGTAGAAGGCTAGTCAGCAGATCCTCAAGGGCGTGCAGCGTGTCCAGATACAGAGACTGGAAGGAGAGCCAGGCCACCCGGCCCCGCCAGTGACCCCACTGCCTATAGCGGCCTTCCCGCTGCTCCCACGGTTATGGACACAGGCAAGGGAAACATGGGGATACCTCCTTGCAGCCTCCGTCCTCCCCCTTGGGCTCAGGCAGCAGGGCCATGACACTGTGCAGGCAGCCATGGATCACATTGGCCCAGGCCTGCTTGTCCAGCGCCGGCTCCACGGAGCTAAGTGGCAAGTTAAGGGCCCCAGACAATGATCCTGAAGCTGAGGCCTGGACACCCAGCAACCTCCAGGCATGTTTAATCTGCTCCAAATCATGGCAGCACCCCATGCAGCGCGAGCGCGCACACACACACACACACACACACAAGATGCACGGGTCTGTGCAGAGGCAAGAAAGGATACACCAAGTAAGTGCAGGTGAGCATGGCTTTCTTCCGAATAGGTGTCCTCAGGGAGTCCAGAGGCTCTGCCCTGATGAACTCCTGGGTGAGGCAGGTGCATGACTCAGTCCTTGGAGGAAGTGCCAGCTTCTCCTCCCTGGTCAGCCTCTGCCCCCCAGCCTAAGTGACAGGCGGGACCCGAGGAGCAGAGCCCCATCAGTCCCTAACACAGCCCCTCCCATGTTCCCAGGCTATATTCATCTTATCCCCCTTGGTGCTCCCCAACCCCACCTCTGACCTCAGTCTCCCAGGAAGCTGCTTAAGGACCAGCCAAGCCACGGCTGCACTCACCATCATCTGCGCCACCAGCTCTGCTTTCCGGCTGAAGTGGAAGGAGCCAGCCTGGGTGCTGCTGCAGATGGCGTGGCTGATCATGCACACACTCTGGATAAGGCACAGCTTCAGGGCTGGGTCCTGCAAGGACACAGAGCTACAGGAGCCGCCCATGCCTGCTCTCCAGGGCTGAACCTGCACACACCCCTTTTCTTTCCTCTGAAGCCAGATGTGCTGCACTCTGCTCTCAAAGGAGCTCTCCAGCCAGCCCTGTTGCTTATCAAAGTCCGTGGGGAAGAAGAGGGGGACCCAGGGGTCCCCCGTGTCGCACTCCAGGGAAGACAGACCGTAGAGCAGACACTGTGTGGTGTGGCCAGAAGGCTCCCCACGGCAGAAGAGCCCTCCAGGGGCCGGGAAGAAAGTCTCTCAGAACAGCCCCACGCTCCCAACCACCACAGGAGAACCAGAAGGGTCTGTTCTCACAGAGGAGCTGACTGTCCTGAGAGAGGGTCCTGTCAAGTTAGTGCCAGGGACGACAGTGGGAAACTTGTTAGTGAGGCTGCGGTGAGGTCTTGGGGGCCAGTGGAGCCTGCACTGACACTTCCACTGGTTTTGGGCCTTGGCCCCTCTACTAGGTGCTCACTGAGGTCCGGGGAGGTGCAGCCCCCATGAGCATTGGGGAGCAGAGCCAGAGGAGGTTCCAGCTGTCCTGGGACGGGTGAGGCTGGCTGAACTTCCTGGGTGGGGTGGGGCGACAGCCCACGACCCAGCCCCTCCGAGGCGCAGACGCCTCCCTTCCTCCCACTGCCGCCCAGGGCCCAGGCGAGGGCAGGAGCCCTGGGTGATGCTTTAGAATGCCCCCCGGGGACTGAGACCAGGAAGCCCCAGCAAGCTCCCCTTCCAGCCTCTGCCCATGAAGCTCAGCCCGCCCAGAGGAGAGCCAAGAGGGGAGAAGCCAGTCCAGCACTTAATTCCTATACACTGTACCTTGGTTTCTACCTTTACTCCCAGAACCTGAACAACAAAAAGTGAAATGAGTTAAGATGTGAAGCTGGCACCAGTGTGAGTCCCTGGCGGCCCCAGCTCCCGGTGTAGCAGGCCCCCCACGATGCCCACCTTGGTGTTGAAGTGCTGGAAGATGTTCCGGAGGATGTCCGACTCCACTTTGGCCAGCACCAGCTCTCGGGGGGCCCGGGCTGCCACGTGGCCGTAGCACAGGATCAGTGCACTCTTCACCTTCTCCACCTCAGTCTCGCTCCGGTCCTGAGAGGCCAGAGGAACCAGCGGGACTTCAGTTACACAGTTACACTCCCCGACAGGAAGCCTCAGCCTCAGAGACTCCTGCACTCCTCCCAGATGAAGGGCCAGAGCCAGTCAGTGACAACAGAGGCATGGGGCAGCCGAGCAGGGCTACCTGAAGCTGGGGATAGGGACAGCCTCTTTGAAACGGCCAGGAGCACAGGCAGCTGGCCAGGCACGGACCCACTGGGCACTGAGTGGCAGAGGATGAGGGCCGAGGCTACATGGGAGGGTCAGGCGGAAGGCAGCCCAGAGGAGCTCCAGGCCCCACCCTTGCTGCGCTGCAGACCTGCCCCCGTGTGCCCAGCAAGGGCTGAGAGGCCCTGTGAGCTTGGCCCAGCCCTCAGATGCTGTAACTGAGACAGTTATGGGACACAGAATATAGAGGGACCATGGCCGGGGTGGGGGCCTGCAGCAGGAGCCCAGTCCTTCCCTAAACCAGGCTGAGGTTCCACCAGAACAGCCAGTGGCTTTGGCAAGAACGCAGAATCTACCAGCCACTAGCAGGCAGAGGCCTGCGCCGGCCACGAGCCCCTCTCATCACCCACGCCCAGCAGAGACTTGGCCCTGGCCACAGCTACCTTTGCCTCCAGGAGACCATTCTGCTCCCTCCCCACTGGGCACGCCCACACAGGCCCCGCCCACACACAGGCCCTGCCCACAGAGGGGATGCAGGAGCAAAAAGTGCTCCAGGGAAGGAGCCAGTTTCCCGCCCCACCCCACCCTGCAGGGCACGCCCTGAGCCTCAGTTTCCCGCCCAACCCCACCCTGCAGGGCACGCCCCGAGCCTCAGTTTCCCACCCCACCCCACCCTGCAGGGCACGCCCTGAGCCTCAAACTTGTGGAAAGACAGCTGTCCCCAGCCTTGCACCCGTGTCTGCCTCACCTTAAAAATGTTGAGGATGCCGATGGATTTTCTGAACACCTCTGACCTCACGAAGTCTTCCAGCTGGGCCAGCGTGTCCTCAAGGTGGGAGATGGCACAGATCCCAAAGCAGCAGGCGAGGCCCTGGGGAGCAGTACACTCACCCCCGGCAGGGGAGGGCCCTTGCTGCCACACACGCACGCACACTGTCACGCGTGGCACACCCACATGTACACCCCCGTGCACACCTGCATACACAGCTGCACACTGTGTACACACCTGCTCTGTCACATATGCACACCACACGTGTATGCACACACGCACGCACAGGCTGCCTCGGAGAACAGCGGGTGGCTGCCAACCTCCAGCCCTGGGGGGTCCAGGGCTTCTGCAGGGACAGGGGTCCCACCTCGCGTTCTGCCTCTTCCTGATATCTGGCCGTCTCCAGCAGCTCCTGAAGGTGCTTCCTCACCACCTCCTTACTTGAAGCAGCACCCAGGGTGGTGCCTATGCATTTGTACAGGAAGTTCTGAAACAAAACCGGAGAACACGGCTGTGCCTGACTCCTGAGTACAGGGAGACCAGCGCTGCCCGGAACGCACCTCCCACCCACGCACTGGTGAGAACTGCAGGGTGAGTCCGGGGCAACATCTGAGGAATGACGTGGAGATGGGGGGCTCTCGCACCTCCCAGCCCTCAGCCACCGTGAGGAGGCTCTGCCAGGCCACCAGGGCCACGGCAGACAGGCCCAGACGGCAAATGACAGACACGAGACCCAGGAATTCAGAGCCCAACAACCACACTCAGCACCCCAGCAGGCCCCACCTTCTCCTGGGGCACCCCATCGTAGCAGGGCAGCTGCCTGCACAGCTCCAGGCTCAGCTGGCAGATCCATGCGTTGTCAGAAACAATGGCCAGGGTGTCTTGCAGGAACTGTGGGCGAAGATGCCACTGAGGGGCTGGGAGCCCAGGCCCTCACAGGGCTGGCTGGGGCCTGGGCGTGCCACCGTCGCTGCAGGGGCTGCGGGCACCTTCCAGCGGAGGCCAGGAGTGGCAGGGTAAACCCTCGGTGGGCAGCCAGGCCGAAGCTGGCTCACCAGGCAGGGTGAGAGGGGGCCCCCATCGCCTGGGGCTGTGGCTGCTAGGCGGCTGGTGCCTTGTCACAGCACAGCTCCCCCCGCAAGGCTGCTGGGCTCCTCAGCCTCGACTCTGCCTGCTCGTGGGCTCCCCATCCACACCACAAAGTGAGGTTGGGGCAGGTGGCCCAGCCTCTGCCATGCCTAAAGGCCCAGGATGGACCATGCTCTGACCACCCCCAGTGCTCACCATCAACAGCCTCTTCTCCCACTCCTCCTGTGGCAGGGTCTCTTCCGTATGCTCTGAAACGACAGCCGCCCAGGCCAGCCCTTTCCAACACGCACAAGTGGGGCTCAGAGCCCAGTACCTGCCCTGAAGCTGAGAGTGCTCAGCACAGCCAGGCCCCACCAGCCCCGCCGGCCCCTCCAACCCACGCCTGCTCTCAGGAAACACCCAGCAGGAGAGCCTTTCAAGCCCCAGGCCATCTGGGGCCCTTCTTGGACCACAGGGGAGGCTGTTTTTTCCAATTACACAACCCTAGTCCCCACTGGTCACCCTAGTGCCACCTGGCAAAGGTCAGAGAAGAGCTGCTTTCCCCACAGGACCATGCACCCACCCTGACCCCAGCCTCACCGTCCAGGTACCCCAGCAGCAGTGGGACAGTTGTCTCCCAATGCTGACCCAGCAAAGGGTGAATGTTAGGGTGCAGAACACTGAGGAGACGCAGCGCTGCCACCCCACGTCCGTCCCCCAGGTAGGGGCTGGAAGACACAACCTGAAGATAGGCAGAGTGGGAGCCGGGTCTGAGCAGGGAGTGCTGGCCGTGCCTACAACCTGCCCCTGCAGGGCCACAGCACCCGAGAGGGGGCCTGGCTCTTCCTGAAGCTGGGCCACCCATGTAGAGGAAAACCATGCCTGAGCCCCAACCGTGGCTGCCCACTGAGAAGGTAGCCCCTTCCCAGCCTGGGTGGAGCACGGGGACACATGGGGGCACCGGGCATGCTGTGAAAGGGCGAGGCTCACCAACAGTCTTGCAGTTACAGCATAGGGAGACGGGAGGCTCGCTGGAGATGAGAGGGGGAAACAGTCAGTGAAGGGCCTGGGACTGGGATCAGGAACTGGAGGATGGGGAGGTGGGGCAGGAGCGGGGAGGTGGGGTGTGGCGCGAACCATGGGTGTCATATTGGATGAGGAAGGTGTCGGCCCCGGCCTCCTGCCTCTTCTGTGCCAGATGCATGAGGCTCCTGCAGAGTGGAGTCAGGGCCCCGGTGAAGCGCACAGGCGTGAGGAACTGGAGCAGGTATGGCCAGAGAACCTGGGGGAGCAGAGGGCCCGGTCTGCGTCTGCCCAGAGGAGGTTCCCTGCAGACAGGGCCGTGCCAGAGCTTTGAAAGTTGAGACAGACCCTTTGCTGGGCCTGAGCACCCTGGGCCACTACCCTGGAGAGCTCTGTTGTCACCAGGCAGGGACAGGTGCCATGCACTCACGTGATTCATCCTGTCCACGGTGGTGCTGACCAGGTAGAGGGTGCGCACGCTGATGGCCCGCACGCTGTCGGCCTTGGGGTCCTCACTGCCGGGGCCTGGCTTCTCAGGCTGGAGGAAGGCAAAAGGCAAAAGCGTGCGTGGGCGGCCATGGCCCTGGGCCTGAGGACACAGCCTGCCCGGAAGCAGGCCAGACCCCAGACCTTGCCACAGGACAGGTGCACTGCACCCCCTGCCATAGACAGGAAAGGCACTCTCTGCTAAGATCATCCAAGAAAGCAGGCTCACCTGCCTCAGTTCTCATCTCCAAAACAAACAAAACCTTGAGCATTTCCTAGGCTACTGACTCTATAAAAAATGACTCTGCTCCTGACATTGCAACGCCTGCAGGGGGAGGAACCAGATAGCCTCTGTGGGAATGTTAACCATGTCAGAAAACCTGGTTCCCACTAGGACTCCACCCAGTTTCGGCAGCCACAGTGGGCCGGATGCCTGCTGCCCTCTGTGTACACTCAGCTCCCTGGGAGGCGTCCCTGCAAGAAGATGACTTCTGTTTCCACACGTTCCATTCAGGTTTTGAAATACCAAAAACTAAAAGCTCAACGACAAAGAGGCATTGAAAAAATGGCAACATGGGAGGGACTTCTAATCTCTCTCTTTCAGAAGCCAAAAGTCACACGAAAAAAATAGTGATATTTAGGCCTTGAACATCAATTTTTACAGCAGGCTCTAAAAATATAGACAGACCTTTATACCAAACATGCACAAGCCACTTTGAAATCCTGACTATTAGGGCAAAAATAATATTGCAACCAACACTTAAAAGCAGAAATCAGTCTGGCCAGATTCAATAAAACAATAAAATGCAGATCCACAACCACCCTGAAAACCTATCGACCTGGAGATTTTAAAGATCATGAAAATCGTTTCGGTTAATAAAGAAACCAAATAGAAATTGCAAACTACCTGATATCGAGCACTGAGGGCATACTCCAACTCCACCAGAAACACAAATGTTAGGATGAAGACCGAGGACAATGCTTACACAAAAAAGTGCACCAAAAGTACCACAGCAGGGAAAAACCCTAAGACAGGGTATGAAAAACTATCACCATGAAATAAAGGATTCAATTCAGGGAACGAATAATGCAACGACTCACTGAGGAAGAAATAACTAACTTGGAAGAACAGACTGCTGAAGACTTCAAGGAAGAAGAAATTTTAAAAGAATGGAAGAAGGAAACGCTAAAAGATGTGAAGACACCAGGTGCAGTGGCTCACGCCTGTAATCCCAGCACTTTGGGAGGCCAGGGCGGGTGGATCACCTGAGGTCAGGAGCTCGAGACCAGCCTGGCCAACATGGTGAAACCCTGTCTCTACTAAAAATACAAAAATTAGTCAGGCATGGTGGCAGTCACCTGTAATCCCAGCTACTCAGGAGGCTGAGGCAGGAGAATAGCTTGAACTCAGGAGGCGGAGATTGCAGTGAACCCAGATCATGCCATTGCACTCCATCCTAGCAGACAAGAAGAAGACTGAGTCTTTAAAAAAGAAAATGTGAAGACAGCAGTGCTAGCGTTCAGATAACAGATACCCAGAGTCAGAGTAATACAAAAACAAGGGCAAGAAATACTCGAGAAATAAAGAAGCTAGCTTCCCAGAAACAGAAGAGGAGAGGCTCATCGAAGGGCCCGAAGAGCAGAAGCACAGGCAGCCCTCGGTGAACTGGGACGCCTTCCTGCACCAGAAAGGGAAACCGGGCCACAAGACAGGGGCCTGTGTGCTCAAAGGGGTGCTACTAAGTGTGGGACAGCTTGACCAACAGGCCAGCAACAGGAACCGCACATGGACCGTTATGTAAAACAGCAAAACAGGAGTCCACGCTGAGAGACATGTATGCACATAAGAACAGGAGAGGCTCTGTCACCACAGAGGCCAAAGTACAGCAATATCACTGGAGTTAGAAAATCATCCATGGATGATAGAAACAATTGATGTTGACTACAGTTTATTTATTTTCTGGGATGGAGTCTTACTCTGCCACCCAGGCTGGAGTGCAGTGGGGTGATCTTGGCTCACTACAACCTCCACCTCCTGGGTTCAGGCGATTCTCCTGCCTCAGCCTCCTGAGTAGCTGGGATTACAGGCACCCGCCACCATGCCCAGCTAATGCTTTTGTATTTTTAGTAGAGATGGGGTTTCACCATGTTGGCCAGGCTGGTCTCGAACTCCTGACCTCAAGTGATCCGCCCGCCTTGGCCTCCCAAAGTGCTGGGATTACAGTTGTGAACCACTGCACCTGGGCTGATGCTGACTAAAAGTTTAATCACAAGAAGCTGTTTACTTAATTCCAAAGATCTCCCTACGAACTACTCATTTACTACAAAGCGAAAGCAGCAACTTTCCAGTGCAGACACTGAGCACAGACAAGTGATCAGACTTAACGAGATAACATGGAAACAAGCCAACACTGGGACCCCCGATATGACACACTGGTGGGGCACGCAAGACTTCGTGAGAGTCCTCCCAAAACTGCATCGTCTGGGTCAGATCGTGAGGAGACACCAGCACACCTGAGCTACTCAACAAAATAACTGCTCTCAATTCTTTGAAAGTATCCAGGCCAAGAAACACCAGGGCAGGAGGCCAACCGAACACAGCAGCCACACAAAGTACGTGTCTGGACTGCACCGTGCACCAGAAAGCAATTAAAGGGACAGACTGGGATGACCGAGGAAGCGCGTGATCAGGTGACGTTGTGGCCTCCATGCTGAATTTCCTGATTCCAGCAGCTGGACTGTGGTTATGCAGAATAATGTCCTTATTCTTAGGAAATAAGGTATTTAGTGGTCAGTGATAAAAGGACACAATGTCTCAAATTTTCTCTCGAGTTGGAAAAAAATTGTGCATGTATGCACAGGTGTATGTGTGTACAAATTATATGAAGAATGCCACACACAGGCATAAGGAAAGTATACACCATGATCTCTTATAAATATAGACATGAAAATCCTCCACAAAATACCAGCACACTGAACACAACAATGTATACAAATGATTATACACCATGATCAAGTGGGATTTATCCCAGGAATGCAAGCTGAACATCTGAAATCACCTCATGAAATATATCATATCATATAAAGAACAAAAATGACAAACTCCTCTTGGAAACAGAAAAAAAGCACATAAAATTTAGTACTTCTTCAAAATATTCAACAAAGCAGGACTAGAAGGCGGCATCCGTGACCTGATGAAGGCCCACAGAGGGAGTCACACCTGATGGTGCTGGCCTAAATGCTTCTACACAAAGAGACGGAATAAGACAAGGGTGTCGGGCCGGGCGCGGTGGCTCACGCCTGTAATCCCAGCACTTTGGGAGGCCGAGGCGGGTGGATCACGAGGTCAAGAGATCGAGACCATCCTGGTCAACATGGTGAAACCCCGTCTCTACTAAAAATACAAAAAAATTAGCTGGGCATGGTGGCGCGTGCCTGTAATCCCAGCGACTCAGGGGGCTGGGGCAGGAGAATTGCCTGAACCCAGGAGGCGGAGGTTGCGGTGAGCCGAGATCACGCCATTGCACTCCAGCCTGGGTAACAAGAGCGAAACTCCGTCCCAAAAAAAAAAAAAAAAGACAAGGGTGTCTGTTCACACCCATTTCATTCAACAGCGTTGGGCGTTCTAGCTGGACCAACTCAGCAAGAAAATTAAATAAAGGCATCCGGATTGAAAATAAAGAAGTGAAACTATAGTTGTAGATGATATATTCTTTATAGAAAATCCTAAGAAATCCAATAAAAACTATTATAACTAATAAGCAGGTCCAACAAGATTGCAGTATACAAGACCAATATGAAAGAATAATTGTATTTCTATATAGTAGCAAAGAATAAACTTAAAATGAAATTAAGAAAATAATTCAGGCTGGGTGCTGTGGTCCCCACGCTTTAGGAGGCTGAGACGGGTGGATGGCTTGAAGTCAGGAGTTTGAGACCAGCCTGGCCAACATGGTGAAACCCCATCTCTACCAAAAAAAAAGAAAAAAATACAAAAATTAGCTGGGCATGGTGGTGAGTGCCTGTTAATCCCAGCTACTCAGGAAGCTAAGGCAGGAGAATTGCTTGAACTCGGGAAGCAGAGGTTGCAATGAGCCAATATTGCACCACTGCACCCCAGCCTGGGAGACAGAGCAAGACTCTAACTAAAAAAAAAAAAAACAAAAAAAAACAAAGAAAATAATTCCATTTACAATAGCATCAAAAATAATAAAATATTTATGAATAAATCTAATGAAAGAAGTGTAAAACTTACACTCTGAAAACGTCAAAATAATGTTATAAGAAATTAAAGACCTAAATAAATAGAAATACATCCCATGTTCATAGATACAAAGACTTTAGTGACTTCTGTGCAAGAAGTGACAATCTGATCCCAAAATAATTCACATGGTAATTCAAGGGACCCAAAATAGCCAAAACAATCTTGAAAAGGAACAAAGTTGGAGCACTCCTGTTTCCCAATTTCAGAATTTGCTACAAAGCAACTATTTTCACAGCAGCATTATTCACAGGAGCCAGAAGGTGGCAGCAGCCCAAGTGTCCGTGAAGGAATGAATGTAATAAGCAAATAAAGCATCTGAGCACAGGGAAGATTCAGCCTGAAGGAGGGAGATTCTGGCACCTGCTACACCATGGAAGAGCATTCAGGACCTTATGCTGAGTGGGAGAAGCCAGACACAAAAGAACAAACACTGTTTACATCCATTTACATGAAGCACCTCGAGCAGTGAAATTCATAGAGAAGGTAGAATGGCGGGGTGCAGGAGCTGGAGGAAGAGAGAATGGGAGTTAGCATTTCCTGGGGACAGTTTCTGTTTGGGAACATGGACAAGCTGTGGTGCTGTAAGGTGGTGATGGCTGCACAACAATGTGAATGCACTTAATGTTGAACTGTATACTTAAAATTGGTTGGCCTGGCGCGGTGGCTCAAGCCTGTAATCCCAGCACTTTGGGAGGCCGAGGCAGGTGGATCACGAGGTCAAGAGATCGAGACCATCCTGGTCAACATGGTGAAACCCCGTCTCTACTAAAAATACAAAAAATTAGCTG